TCGTGCAGGTCAGCCACCGCCACCGACACGCTGGCGGTGGCCCAGAGCGAAGGCGAGCCCCCGTCCCGCGCTGTCACCACCACGGTGTAGTCAGAAATGCTCTCTCTGTCCAGGGCGCTGTCCAGCACCAGCGAGTAGTAATTCTTGAAGGTGGACACCAGCTTGAAGGGGACATGAGGCGTCAGGGAGCAGGTCACCTGCCCGTTGACACCAGAGTCTTTGTCTGACACGCTGATTAGTGCGATGACGGTGCCCATCTGAGCATCCTCTTTCACTGGGAGAGACAAAGAAGTGATATCTATCTCAGGAGAATTATCATTTTCATCCAGAATTTCCACGAGAACCGTGCAGTGGCCAACCATAGGTGGAGTCCCTTTATCTGTAACATCTATATGAATTTCATAAGTGTTAGTGTCTTCAAAATCAATAGCATCATTAATTTTTATTTCTCCTGTCCTTTCATTTATTAGAAATTTTCTTCTAATGATGGGTGGGACCAACAAGCTAAATGAATATGTCATTTCCTTGTTTATCCCTTCATCTGCATCAGAGGCGTTTAGCTGTATTACTAATGTCTGGTTCGCCTCGTTTTCATACATCTTAACTTCGTAAACTGATCTGTCAAACATGGGGGCGTTATCGTTGGCATCCAACACCTGGATTAATAAAGAAACAGATCCGGTGAATTCGGGTTTGCCTCCATCAGTTGCTGTCAGTAACAACTTAAACTGAGGGTTTTCTTCACGGTTTAGCAATTTTCGCAGGACAAGTACTGGGAATTTGCCTTTATCCTTTTTGTTGATAATATCAAGAATGAAAAAATCATTTGGACTGAGTTTGTAAGTAAGCATTGCGTTCTCTCCAACATCCGCATCAGATGCGCCTTCTAGCGGAAATCTAGAGTCCAGCAGTCTGGATTCGGGTATTGAGAGCCTTTGTTCTGTTACGGAGAACACCGGCGGGTTGTCGTTAATGTCCTTCACCTCCACGTCCACATGGAAAACCTGCAGCGGCCGCTCCACGATCACCTCCAGGGGGATGCCACACTTCGCGCTCCGCCCGCACAGCTCCTCCCGGTCGATCCGGGAATTCACAAACAAAATGCCATTCTGCAGATTTACCTCCAGAAGGTCCGCGCGGCCCTTGGACGCCACCCGGAACAGGCGGGGCACCAGGTCTTCCAGCTCCAGCCCCAGATCCTGCGCGATGCGGCCCACGAAGGTGCCGTGTTTGGCCTCCTCCGGGACCGAGTAGTGGAGCTGGCCGCTCCCCTTTTCCCAAATTGCGAGGAGAAGAAGCGAGAGCAGCAGGAGCCGAATTCCTGGACCTCTGGATCTGGAGACCAACATCCTCCCTTTCCCTAGTTTTATAAATGAATGAACCAGCAGTGTAGAACGCGCACACACTCGGATATTTCCTATTTGATCTCTGACATCCATTTCTTAAATATTAGAATGACTGAGCTCTCAGTAGCTACTTCCTAGTCCTTGAGAAAGTGGATCGTGCCTTTGTTCTAAAAGGCTATATTGTGGACTACAGCGACATCCGGTGGCTTAGTGCGTAAGTATCATTCCAAGAAGTGAACTTCTTTCATTTCTATTTTAATTCTTTTTTTTACTTCTTTTTAATAACTATGAACCTCCAAAGTCTCATATTGTTTCTTTTGCGTGAAATAGTAACCAGTGTTGATTCCAAGTGCAATGTTTTCTTAAATGTAGACTCTCAAAGAAGTCATTCTTTCTCAACCACCTGGTTATGGTTAGCTAAACTTCAAAATACCTTTAATACCTGCATAGCACTGAGTGCACTGATGACAAGCTTAGATCTCTTTAAATTCTGAAACCTAAATCATTTCCCTTTGTCGTTATCTTGATATCCAGTTAACTTTATGCACTAATCTCACACACCAGTTATCAGTGAGGTGTTTGGAACTGTATTTTTTCTTTTTTAAAAAAATTTCATTTCAAGTTCTTTTATACATTCGATCACATTATTTAGCTTGCAAAGTGAATATTTCAATGTGTACATTTCTCCCCAGTCCAGCTGATAATATTATAACTTTATCCTCAACAGATAATACCCCATTTCTTTGTCCCATTAATGCTACGCCTCTCTATTTTTCTCCTTAATGTCCTTCCTCAGACTCCACTCCTTCACCCTTAAATTCCAGTCATTATTAGAATGCAGAGAGATCACTGGCTTCACCATCAAACATTTCACCATGTCAATTCCTATTAGTTTATTTCTAGGCATGTGACTTTGGGAAAATCATTTAGCCTCTCCTTGTGTTCTGCTTCTATAACATTGGTATAATATTAATGTAGTGGCTGTCTGCATTAAGACATAGTAACTGCCTAGCACCCTGAGTGAGTGCTTCAGAAAGAGAATTATTCTCAGGCCTCAGGTTGGCTCCATTTCTTTTCAGTATGCTCAAATTTTCTCCTTACGAAAAAGTATACCTGTAGAATGTCATCACTCTATCATTCCTTTGTTGCCGCTACTGTACAGGCTCAGTGGTGGTCCCTGTCTTTAAGAAAACCGAAGTTTTTTTATTGACATATGAAGTACACAGGAAGATAAATTAGTTCTTCTTTTTTTTTTAAAAAAAAAGGGGGGGGGGCAGCAGGTGGCATGGTGGTTGAGGGTGCTGGCCAACTGTGGTTTGAGTCCTAGACCTGGTGGTTTGCTTTCTCACTTTCTCTCTCTCACTCTCACTCGATCGCTGGTCAAATTTTAAAAAATAAATAAAGTTAAATAAAATAATTCTACACAAGAAGAAGTTTCACTTTCTGATATCTTACATGGACAAAAAATCTTAAGTATGATTCTAAATAAAGGAAATAACATACTTATAATTTCTACTTTAAGAGACAATTGCTTTCATTCTTTTTATAGTTAAACTTTCCATATACAAAAAAAAGATTCAGTTATGGAATTGATCTGTTTATTAATGTCAGTAAAGTTTTTTTATTGCCATCTTTAGTAATGTTTTTTTTTCATCTCTCAAATTTCTTGGACTTAAGTATTCAAAACCCCTAATTTTCCATTACTGTGTCTATAGCTACTAAAAAAATACTTGAGTTTTCCAAAGAAAAGAAGACTTAATAATCAACATTTACTCTTATGCAAAGGTCAATTTATTTAATGCTGCCATGACTTAAAAAAATTTTGTTTAAATGTATCATTGGGGTGGGCAGGTGGCATGTGGTTAAGGCACTGGACTCCCACATGGTCAATCAGAGTTCAAGTTGTGGGCCTGGTGGCTTGCTTTCTCACTTTCCCTCTCTGTCTCTCTCTCTCTCTGGTCAAATTAAATAATAATAATTAAAATTATATAAAATAATTTTTTTAATTTATCAATATTTTAAATTAAGCTTTTTGGGTTGTTATTAAAATCTGAATAGAGCAACAATTTAATTAATAAGAAAATTTACAGGAATGAGGGTCACTCGAATCTATCAGCTTCTGTGTCCTACTAAATTCTGTTCTTGTATTTCTCTATTCCTTTGTATTGATGCCAGTGTAAAAATCTATTCAAATGCTTATTTGAGGGGTTACTTTTCCTTGGGCATGAATTACATGTAATGAGGTAGCCTTTTATCCATGATAGCAATGTCAGTATGAGCTACTATCTGGAGTCTAAAAAGAAGCTTATCACTGACTAATCTCAACATCAGATAATAATCTAAACTAAATTTCATTCCTG